AAACGTGCCAGTGGAGATTCTTTTGTGTGTGTGTCTTACCAAGTGGGTTCAGGCTGCTCGAGATCACAGAGAAGTCGGAGTTCAGAAGAGACTAATCCTAAGGCAGTAAATGGGTAAAACTATCATTTTTAAGTAAATCGGTTAAATATGCAATTCGGATTTTTCAAATGAGGAAGAATAAGGATCGAAAAGGTCACAGATGCGGAGTATTATGTAATCGTAAGCAAAAAAAAAAATGTGCTTAGACTTTGCAAAATGAGAGTGAATACCAAGGTTTGGAACACTTTTAAGACACAATTCATGAATCCTCAGGCTCTCACGATGAACCCCACAGAGCCCTTGAAGAAGAATCTCCAGGGCCTCGACGTGCTGTGAAAGAATGTCATGGCTAATGTATCAAAACTAAATGAACCCACATTTCAAAGGGAGGTAAAGATGAAAATTAAGCCCATAAATCAAATTTTAAGGTTGAGCGCATTTACATTTCCACGGTGCTAGTGCATCGTCATCATCAGTATAATCGAATTCAACCAGTAATTCCAAAAAGAAAAAAAAAAAACACAGTCGAAACGGGCACATTAACAACAGAATTACTCAAAGAATTTTGCAGACACAACTCAGGATAATCTGGCAATTTTTCTGTCGACTTACCTTGGTCTCTATAATTCCCTGAACCACGCACTCCATTTTTATTCAAATCTATGTAATTGTAGCTGAAGCAGAATGCCAGTTAAGATCAATTTGGTTTTAATACGAAAAGTTACGAAGAATTAACACGCAAGGGGTTCGATTTGGGATTTTAGGGTTTTACTTGGAAGAAAAATGGATCAAATCCCAGATAGGAGAGATCGGAAGGATGAGGATGGCATGGGCTTGTAAAATTAATTGGGCTTCTCAGAAATTTTGTGTGGGCTTAAGAAACTACTAGGCTTAGCAGGCCATTATCAATTTCCTTTGGGGAAATTTTTAGAAAAAATTACCCCTGGGACGCACAAATATTTTTATTTTGCCCTTTTAACGAGAATAAAAAAAGCTTCGCAATTAAACTTTTCTGTGGTCGGACAATACGAGATTAGTACATGTACAATTCCACTTTAGGAATCTAATTAATTAGTGCTAATTAAAGTGAATAAAACCGTATCTCAAGATTTTTCGAGATTCGGCTCTTCTCAAACACGTTTCCTGCCCACACGCATACCAAAAATTGCAGATCTCAATTGAGGTCGATGCTCACCATTATTCTTCATTCTTCCCTAATTTGTTCAAAGTAAAATCCAAAAATCAATTGTGCAGATGAATTAATGGCGAAAGTTGAGGATGAAAATTATGTCTCTGATACTTCATCTGGAGGTGAAGGAAATCTAGAGCAAAATCATCGGAAAGTTGAAGTTCAGCGCCGTCGGAGGCTTGTTCAAAAGAAAATTCAGTTTGGCAAGAAGAATGTGCAGACCAAAGGTGTTGGAGAACACTCGCATGTCAGATGTCCGATAACTCGTTCCAGTGCTCAGAAGAAGCGATTTTCTCAGAAGAATGCTATGGAGCGAAACGGAGATGCTAATGGGAAGAGGAAGGTTAAATATCCAGATGACATCGATTCTGATTTCGAAGTTGAACAATGTGTTCCTGTGGATGAAGAAGAAAGTGAGGATAGCTCTGAGGCTAACAAATCAGTACTGAGGAGGTCCAAGGGCAACACACATAGGCATAAATCGAGTTGTTTCGAGTTTGAAGATGAAGATGCCAGGAATAAACACCAAAGAGAACACAAGGTAATTTTTTCCTTTAGAAGTATTTTTCCTAGTATCAGTGTTCATATAATTTATCTTTAATTTTGTCCAATTTTTTTTTTAATTGTTTTAGTTGTTGATCCTCACAAAAATTGTTGCTATCTATGTTGACAAGCAAATAATGCCATTGTTGGTACTAATGTTCATGTCTGTATAAACTCGTTAGATCTATTCTATATGTTTTACTGCTATTGTTGGTATCAATTGTTTGTTGTTTTCATTAGGATTGGGAATTGCTTTTTCCAAACTCAAGAGCATTGGTCGTGAAGATAATCAACAGCAATGATAACAGTCGTTCTACCACACCTATTGCTGACATTAAGCGTTTGTTATCCAACGATCAATTGGAGGTGTTTAGAAATTCTGCTTTTGGTAAATTTATAGACCTACCTCATTATAAGATTCAGAATCAACTTGTCAATTTGATTTCATTACGAGAAGTACACCAACCGAGGTTGGATGAAATGTGGTTTGACTTTGGTGGGAAGATCATGAGATTTGGGGTTGAGGAGTTCGCTGTGATAAGTGGTCTAAATTGTAATGGCTTATGTAAAAAGCTTTGTTATCCCCCCGTCCCT